TAAAGCTGCAAAACTGATGAACGTCTCTCCGTATAATGTGTTCATGTGCAACTGTTAATATCAGATGTACTCGTACTCATACGTGTGTGACATCTGTAACTGAAAGCGGACAGTAGACTGCAAATTAATGTATACATTTTGTAGAATCCAAGATTATTACCGACATGAACCGGTCTCATTTGGCAGAACAGTACACAGATATAAGACATAGCCTGAGAAGATATGAATTATCACTACGCTTGTAATTAACGCTCACCTTCAGTGCAACGGTCTTCAAAGGAACCTGCATAATAGTTCTGTCTTCTGAAGATATAACGGTCTTTGGTTGTGCTTCCGAATTAGTACATCAAACGGTAAACGAAAGTTCTCCCTCAGAGGAAATCCTGACGTAGTTCCGCAACAGTTTCATCATGTCGTGGCAGAGTCCAAGTGTGTTGTTCCTTTTGTCCGCAGAGTTGGATCTAGACCAGGTACATTCTACACAACAGAGAGATGTGATGAATATCTGCAGTCCGTTTCATGAAGACCGATATGTAAATCAAAATGTGAACCAATTACATGGAGCAAAGTCCTTCTTGAGAAGCTAATAACCGTTCAGATAATCAATAAATTCATCTCCTTTTACGGAACCTGAAGGTTCGTTACCGAGTCCACAGAGACCGCCACTGGACCCTAGGTCTTACTCCATCCTCTCCACATTCTCATACATCGTTCCTACAAGACTGATTTTAATATTATCCTCTCACCTATGTCTTAATCTTCCAAGTTATGTCTTCCTTTGAAGTATTCGACCAAAATTTCATACAATTTTTTTACCTCTCGTTGAGTATCCATAATTCATAGGATGTTTACAAAGGATCTGTTAGGATGCGAAATGATAAATACAAAGCACAGCTGTTAAACGCGGTAGCGTAGTTGATTTAGGCACTGTGCTATAAGCCGCGAAGGTCGCGGGTTCGATTCCGCATGAGATCATTGGATGTTTTAATTTACCTAATCCTTCCAGCCGCAGGCTACCAGGCCCTGGGGTCGACTCAGCCTCTAAGAGAAATGAGTAGTAGGAATCTTCTTGGGGGTAAAGTGCGGCCGGCGCGTAAGCCTGACAACCAACTGTCTAGAAAATGAGGGAGCCTCGACGTATCACAACCCTATGGGCCTTCACGGCCTGTTACAGTGATAGCTTTACCTTTACCTTTGCCTTTGCCTGCATTCTGGTTGACCTTAACTTTCATACTCCATGATTCAATGTCGAGTACTAATCCAATACTCACGCGGTGTATTTAGTACTTTGCCGATCATAGTGGCCGTGTGGTCTAAGGTATGAACTGTCTTCGCCCGCTCAACACTGGTGTCGTAGGTTCGAGTGTTAATCTAGGCAGGGATGTCTAACTGCGTTTATTCTGTATGTCGTGTGTAGGTAGCGGTCTTGCGACGGCCCGATCCCACGTCCAAGCAGTCATACCGACTGTCTGTTAGACAAGGGAAATGAAGAGAAATGAATAGTTTCACAGATGCCCCATGCTCCAGATGGAGAAGAAGGGGAAATACGAATGAATGAATGAATAAATATGTATTACTGAGATGTGTGATATGACATGTTATTTCCTCATTTAAATAGAGCATATTTTAGGAAAACCTCAAAAGAAGAAGGGCAACTTTGCTAGCTAATGCTAAAGTAACTTGCTTCTCCTGTGGTATGCGTATTAGACAAATAAAAGCGTGTACCTCAATATACAGCTGACCATACCTGTTTAGAAGATGTCTTCTTCATTAGAGAAGTAACTGTAAAATATTAGTAGAACGCTGCAGTACAGATTATCAGCCCCTCTAACTCCTAAGCAGCACACAATGGAGAGACAAAGACTGCTAGCCCTCTGTGTGGTTCTGTAAGTTAGCCGAGCCCCAGTGTCCAATAAATAGAGCTGGGGGCCCTGGAAACCAGCAACGAACAGGGCTCTCCTGTAGTCAATATTGACAGGAGAAGTGAACTGCAGGACCAGGCTAACACGCGAGAGACAACCATAGCAACTTAAGGGCAAGCAAGGGATTCCAGAGTGAACAGTCGCTGCTGGTACATCATTACACTTCTGTGAAGTCAAACGCGTATCTCTGTGCCTTAAGTTAACTTACACTCAACTTGCGTCTTTGTAGTCAGCTGTATCGGCTTCGCTATACGTGCGTGAGGGAGGTTGTGGTAATGATGGATGTAACAGGGCTTATACTCGTATGCAGAGTGATTCGATCTTGAAGAAAGCAGTCTTCTTGGATGTGGCACCGTGTATATGTGGTGTTGCCCGACGTTTCGGAGGAACGTACCTCTTCCTTCTTCAGGGTAGAAGGAAAAATACCCTGAAGATGGAGGCGATACGTTCCTCCGAAACGTCGGTTAACATCACATCTACATGGTGCCACATCCCAGAAGACTGCTTTCTTCATAGTCACCGCCGTGAAAACCTCAAATCTGACATGATTCTATATTACTGTCGGGGTTTCCGTGGCCTATACTTTTCAAACCTTACGCGCCACGAAAGGTGGGCATGTTTAAGTTGTTTATGATTCTGCAATAATGAGTCCATAAATAATAAAACTTTTTGAGTTATACTTTCATTTTCTATAAACATTTGATTTTATTATCTCCGACTTGAAAATTATAGGCCACGGAAACCCCGACAATAATTTAGATTCACCCAGTACATTGAGGTGATATGAAAATGTTACATTTTGAATCATAATCTTTCATTGCTTCCAATGGTGGTTATACTTATTTTATGTAATACCAAAGAACACATTTTTCCTAATGATTCTCTAAAGATTTGTGGCAGTGGTTGACTGACTGTGCGAATACTACATTACATTAGCTGAGTCACGTGGTGCACACCTACAGAGCAAGGTGACGCAAGCGCTAACTGTATTAAAGCAGCACCTCTTTACAATCTCAGTCGCAGAGCCGACCAGCGTGACTGAGGTATTTCGCGATTTTCATCAGTTAATTCAGGCAAATACCGGATTAGTATCTTCAAATAGGCCACGACCGCTTTATTCCACGCCGTTTCCAATTCGTCTTTCATGTATCATTCTGCCCTAAACTAAGCGAAGGCCCATAGGGTTGTGAGACGCTGAGGGTCCCATCGGCTCAAAGTTGGCGGTAAAATTTGTATAGAAGAGTATCTTAATATTACCATGCATTGCTTACACTTTTATTAAACTTTGGATTCTCACTGTATTCACTTATTTAGCTACAGATCTCACATCCTGAGCGAATTCGCATGCACACTGAATAGCAATACAAGTATTATCATGCCTATGCGTGTGACTATAGACGTGGTCCGGATTTGTAATTGGATTTATTGAGTACTTACGGATCATAACTGCAAGTAACTATAACACTAACGCTAATTCACACACTCTAAAATTCACTACAGCACATTAAGTCTTTTCAGTCTGCTGTGTCTTCACTAGACGTTGTGTGGTAACGGCTTCCAACGATGGACGTTTCCCTTACTCTCGGGTTCCCGAATTATCTCAGTGCCTCGGTTACCGGCCTCTAGGGCTGGGTATCGATTGCGCGCGGCTGCCGCGTGCAGCTGTTCGTGCCCGGAAAACTTGTTCGTTTGTTTACCGTGTTCGTGTCCAGCATCGAAGCGCGGCAGCCGCGTGCGGCCGTTGATCGACTCTGTTCCTCAGTTCTCTGACCGCCTCAACCGAAAGAGCACAACACGCTGAAATCCCTTTGCCGCGGGACAAAGAACCACTCCGATTTGGCTCGACACGTACCAAGTTCACGGCGGCAGTGTTCGTTCTGCCGCGTGCGGCAACATGGTATCGACTTTGCGAGGCAAAGCAACGAACATTGTCTCGCGCGGCAGCCGCGCCAAATCGATACCCGGCTTAACAGTAACAGCTCACAACGACTTAACTGCAGCAGTTCTCTGACTGACTGTTCACCAGCTCACTTCACTCCACTGTACTCAACTGCATTATGCTCGCCAACTCACCAATTATCCTGGTTAAAATATCTCGGTACGGACAGCACAGAAAACACGGTTCCCCTGTTGTTTGATTGTTGCTTGTTATGAATCTGTTGCCTAGCACTCGGCGTTGTTTACGGAGTCATTACTTAGCAACAGGTCTGTATGCTGCAGTATGATTACGAATGATACGTCATGTCGGATCGGGACCTATGTTAAGACACTAAGTCGATTAGTACAATAACAAAGACACGGTAAAGAGAAACCCAGGATGCCTAAATTGTACTTGCTAGATGAACTTAAAGTAAAGTAAAGGTATCCCTGTAACAGGCCGTGGAGGCCCATAGGGTTGTGAGATGTTGAAGTTCCCACATTTTCTAGACAATCGGCTCAAACATAGCCGTAAGGTTGTCAGCCCTGCGCGCCGGCCACCCTTTACCCCCAAAAATATTCCTGGTACTCATTTCTGTTAGAGGCTGAGTCGACCCTAGGGCCATAGTGCGGCTGGAAGGACTAGGTAAATTGAAAAAAGTCCAATGACCTCATCGAGATTCGATCCCGCGACCTTCCGGCTTGTAGCATAGTGCCTCAACCAACTACGCTACCGCGTCATACAAAATTTTTTTCTCCTTTGCTGTGCTGTTTCTGAAACACGTCGACTCAGTTTATATTTATCGGGCCTATGTTTTAGTATAATCTTAAGTAAGATGGAAAGTTTTGTGCTTATTTTATTATTCAAAATGTTGTATGAGTTCTCTAGTTAGATAACTAACACAATGAATGATTTATCTGAAAATCTTGTGTCCATTCATCTGAAAATATATTTCTTCCGCAAAACTTGAAATTTATAATTTAACAAAACTTGGGGCGAATTGAATTTTGAAGAATCTTATCTTTCTCACATCCCAGAATAAAGTGTTCCTCCCAGTCATCGCTGTGAGAACCTCAAATAATTGGATATATTTTGAATAAGGACTCACATTCATTTTACAGCAACTTATTTGACTACAATACAGAATTGTTTGATTTCAGGTTCATCTGTGCGAGGCAGAGGGAATCCCCGAGTACAATGGAGTGTCCTCTTTTCACAAGAAGCAACTTGTAGTAGTGAAGTCCCTCTGGCGTGGATGTGGAGAAACAACGAGGTGCGTTCAAACGTTCGTTTATTTACTACTCTTTTACGACAAAAAGCAGATGGCGTAATCCTGTAAATTAGTAACAACATATCATGCGTCTCAGTTAAACTGTTTATTCACATTAGAATTGTTTAAAGGTTGCAGTGAAGTGTACGTGTTATTGCAGTTTGCTAACGTTACAGTAATGCGCTCACTGATTCTGAAAAATTTCTGCACATGAATAAAACATCAGTATATTACAGAGCGTCACAGTTTTGAATAATTTGGTTTGTGCTTCATTTAACCGGCTACTTATTTTACTTAAATTATCTAGACGATCATTATGTTTTTTTGACATGGTTTCTTTTTGGATTTCTATTATGAAGATGTCAGTTACAGAATTGAATTACAACAAACATATCTTATTTTAATCATCGCTGCAGTGGGAATGAATTTATTTTGTACGGTTTTTTCCTACGTTTTGCTACCTTGTTTCTTGATGCTAGGCTATAGTGAATGACAAAACTCTTCGTCTAACCGACTAAGTTTTCCCTTCACTTTTAAGGGAGTTCACACTTGCCATGGAAATTCAGATGGACCCAAGAAATGTACATACATACACTTCAACATACAAAAAACTGCTTAAATAATCTTTTGGTAATACAGATTAATATAATAATAAGACACGTGTTGAACTAGAACAAGTGTTAAAAGTGTCCAACATTAGTTTATAGACACTTCTGAGTTCGGCGGACTAATGCACGAGCAACAGTGGCCTTAGTGTCCGGTAGGATTGAGGGACACGTCTTTTCAATTTATTTCCGTAACCGTCTCCAGTGTCTGTGGTTTTCTGTGATATACCAGATCCTTCAGGGACCCCCAGAAGTAAAAGTCGATGGGGAGGGGTTAAAACAGGTGAGTGCGTGGGATCCGCTTCGTCCTATCCATTGGCCTGGTACGGTTTCATCGAGGTGGCTCTCGACATTCCGGTGGTAGCATGGTGGTGCGCCATTTTGTTGCAAGCAAAATGGCTCATTTCCATACAGATGATGAATGGCACGTAAAATGGATGTCCGAAGGATGTTGAGTTAAATAGGGCCATTAACTATTCTTTAAAAAAGAAACTTCGTGTACTTGTGCACATTATGCACTCTACCATCCGTCTCAAATCTGTCACGAATGCGTGCAGTTGTTAATCGTGTTTCAGGTTCCGTTGTGCAAATTCACGCCGCCACTATCTTTGTGCTTTACACACATTTCTAGTACCACTTCAAAATTATCTTGCGATGCTCAAACGACAACGTTTCTGCCGCAATTTTCTTTAACTATCCTACCATTCTACAAGATGGCTCTTACATTCATGTGACTAGCACCACCTTTTGAGAGAGTATCACATTACACGCCTTACGTTGTATTGTGGTTCAACCTTGAAAATGTAGGTTACCTCTGTTAAAGTGTTCATACGTTTCTTTGGGCCCCCCTGTATGGAATATACCATGAAATCGCCTATATTTTAACAAATTGCCAAGTATTCTCGTTGTATACGTTATTCTAAAACTAAACTTCTCTTTGTTGTTACAATAGACAAGAATTTCTCCGCGAAGTTAGCTGGTTGGCGAGCATCAGGGACACGAATTTGACACGTATCATTGGAATCTGTGGCCAAGAAGAGCCTCTGTGTGTCATTCAGGAACACTCGGACCTTGGCAACCTTCCACAATTTCTGCAGCTCCAGAGCCTCGCTGCAGAGGAAGGCACTTCTACGCTCAGGTAGGAACAAAACGCCACTTAAATATATCAAGTGTATCAGATTTAAATCTGCAGGATAATTTTACCATATGTATAATATAGAAAGTCTTGCCTTATTATAAAATTGTCATTGTTTGTGTTACTGAACATCAGTATCGTTGCTTAAGAAGTCAGGCTCATTTTTCACGACTTTCTCTGGTGAACAACTTCTCTTCACCTCTTAGGCATGGATCAGCCATGTGACTGTGGAAGCAGCTCCGTTTAAAGGTTATAAGAGATAGCCTTTTCCTGGGGAGTAAAGTGCCGCCGGCGCGTAAGGCTGACAACCTTACCGTCATCTTTGAGCCGATTCTCTAGATAATGTGGGACCCTCAACATCTCACAACCCTATGGGCCTTCACGGCCTGCTACAGGGATAGCTTTACTTTTTTTTACTTACAGTCTTAGACAAATTCCAATTTAACGAATATCTGCACTTTGCTTGTCTTAAATAAAGTTAGGAGCGGCGTAAATCTTAGTTAAAGTCGTGAATTTTAATATTGGAATATTTTTCCTTTATCACTTTTTTTTGGCTATATTCATCATTTATGTCATTCATTATAATAAAACATTTGAGCGTGAATACTCTCTGAATCGAACTTGACAAAAAATTGTTGAATTTAAATTAATTTTATTTGCACATGAACCAGTATATCCCGTTTTAATATAAATACAATTGCTATTTATTATATTTATGAAAATTATGAATTTAATTTTATTCATTTCGATTATTGAAATATATTTTGAGAAGAGTTTAACTTGACAACACTGTAATTTTACATAAGTTTGCTGCTTTGTCACAAGTGAAGCTTTAGTTGACGCGTTTTGCCAAAAGCAACGTATCGTTGGAAAAGAAGAATAGTGACTAAAAATACACATGAGAAAAGACTAGCTCAACAGAAAAGTGGAAAGAAATTTGCTATAGTTTCTGCTACGCTACTTTGTAACTGTTTCCAACGTTGCCGCCCTTTCACAGTGAATGGCTTGCAAATCAAGTCAAAGTCAACGTTTCAATACATTATTATTAATTTCTCCTGAACGGGTTAATGAATGTAAGTGTAATTTTGCAACACTATTTCTAAAGGTAGAACTTATAAGTTTAAAAATTCTGAATATCATAGTATAATTTTTTACATGTTTCTCTTCTCCTATAATGTACGAGGTGACGACCTTCCATAAGACCACATTTAAATTTAATTAGAATTAAAGGTGCAATAACTTCTGAACGGGTAAATGTATTGAGTCCAAACTCTTTTAGGGATTTCAGAATAAAAGAACGAATGATCTATACTTTCTTTTCAATTTTATACATTATTAAGTATTTCATATACATCCTTAAATCAATGGTTCGCAGTGACGCACAACAAAATGTTGCGTGCCAGAAAAGTTTGTGGAATGGAGCCCTATAAGAAAAATAATAGTCGTCCATTTCCTTATAATAGCGACGATAATTCTGTTAGCTTATATTTGTGAAGGAGTAATTGGATTCCCTGTCATTCTGATATGTCTAAAGGTTTTTGATTGTTTGCTATTCAGATTACACATATCGGACATTTTCAGTCATTACTTACTGGTTGAAGAAAGGAGGTTCGGTCTATGAGTTCTGTTTCCATCTTCACACGGAAGTAAAAAATCTATTAGGTCTATTATGACATTCCTTGGAGAGCGACCGGCTCCATCCAAGACATCCACCACATTAGATTAGATAATTTTATCTGATGATGGAAGCAGAACGAACTTCTGAAACAGCCAAATATACCCCGTACACAGTATGTCAGTTCATGTCCTTGCTGTTAAACATGGAGCTATGCGCGAGACGCTCCGGTCGAGATTCGAGTACAGTACCTCTCGAATACGAGCACAGAGCATTGCCGCTACGCCATTCCGCTTTGTGAACACCGTAATGAAATTTAAGAGTTAACTAGATGAGCGACTATTAGTTTCAAAGAAGAGATTTTTTTTTCAACGAGTTTAGTTATTAAATTAGCGCCGTGCCACGTGCTGCCATCTGTTGAATACTGTAGGAACTCCACGCAAGTGTGTTACAAGGCGTGGGGTTGATCCATACTAGCGGCCAAGCACAAAGAGTTTTTATTTAACTTCGAACTCCTTTTCCGTGAATATAAAGCTCGTGGACGCAGATGACCAAGTTACTGTGATTTAAAAGCATTTGAATAAACTGATTAGAATATTATACTGCAGCATCCTGTTCCACTGTGTGTTCAGACTTTGTGTTCCCACTTCTTGCCGTCTTTGTGCAGCGTCGTTGGTACGAGTATATCATTTTCACACGTCTTCGTCTCTATATTATCACTGCATGTTTCGGCCTAACTGGCCATCATCAGGTGTGTAAGGTGCTGAGTTCAAGAAGCCTGCTGCTGTTCTATTACGCTGTTCGTTTTTTTTCATTTTCCATGTAAATGCTTCAGAATATTCTATGTTATATACAGAGTGGGAACACAAAGTTTCAACAAATTGAATTAAGTAGCGTTTCTTGCTTGAGGATATTGTTACATAATAGGCTTAGTGAATATTTGTTAGGCTATTATTATTTAAGATTGTATTAAAATAACCCATTGAAGAATTTATATAATTCAGTAGCTACATGTCGGAAATATCATGTTTAATATAAAATAATTAGATAACTTACGACAAATCGATCAATTTTGAAACATGAAAATAGATCATAGAATGTTGTAATGAACTATGAAAATCAGATTATCAAGATATAATGAATATCCAGCCAACTGCCTCATGTCTTTATACTTATCCCCGTCTTAGAAATTGGCTGGTACTTTGGTTATTTCATGATTCAGTTTCAAATGGAGCGTTTTAGAATATCAAATGTGGCGGGATGAACACTTGGCAAGTAACGATATCAAAAGAGGAGACCGTTGCTTATTTCGGGGCATTACTCGAAATCCGTCCCAAAGCATTCATTTAAGATATGAAAATCTCTTTCAGAACACATCAGAGAAGCTTTAAGGAAAACAGAAATTGATTGCAAACTATTATTAATTAATTAAGCCCCACGTCATGAAGACACATGTGGGAGTGGAGATATAGCTTCACCATTCTTTACCTCGGCACTAGTTGTGAGTGGGTATTTCTTTTATTGCTAGTGGGGTGGGACTAAGACCCTTGTACTGCGGCTAATTCTGGCCTATTGTACCAGCCCCAGATGATAGGTGAGGATGATTGTGGAGCAATTGGTGGGATGAAAACTGGCAGGGGAAACCGAAGTACTCGGAGAAAACCTGCCCCAGCGCCGCTTTGTCCACCACAAATCCCACTTGACCAGACTCGGGTTCGAACTCGGGCCGCCGCGGTGGGAAGCCAGCAACTAATCGCTTGAGCTATGGCGCGGTCCTGTGAGTGAGTAGTTTCACGCCTCGGCCGCTTTATCTCCGGGGAAATCGCTCTCGGTACCCTTTGGATAGGAGGTTAGGTGGGTTCCAGAGCCCGTCTGGACACGATGGTGAAGATAAAAAAAAAACTTAACTCTGCCGACAATTGAAACCTGGCCGCCCAGGTAGTAACCAGTCGCTATACCGACTGAGTTATCCAGACTCCCATAATATGTATCATATAAAACGAAATGCACCCTCGTTACCATCCACAACATTTAGTGTTACTGGACTGCTCTGACCCGAGATTCATGTCAGAATTAGGCCTCATCAGCGGCCGGCGCGTAGGGCTGAAAATCTCACCGCCATCTATGAAGCGATTTTCTAGAAAATGTGGGAGCCTCGACGTCTCACAACCTTATGGGCTTCCATGGCCTGTTACAGGGATAGCTTTAGCTTTATTAGTCCTTATCATGTTGTGTATGATGCTAAAACATTATGATATCTCTTACGAGGTACAAAGTCTTTGATACAAATCTGTTATGGCTATGATATTAGTTATTGTCCCATTACTCAGTTGTTAGGCTACGTGGTATATTCTGCAACAACTCTTGGGCCAAGGCCATATAAGCGTTAGTTTATCATCCGTGCGCCGAAGTGCATTTGTAATCCACAGAGAACAACAACACGCGTCGCCAGACGGATCTCAACATATCGGTCACGTTTCTATCCGTGCTGAGTTGCCAAAACGTTCCAACGTCGAACGTAATCTGTTACGCGTAAGGTACGTTTCATTTCGGACTAGTACGACGCATACAGTCAGCCCCATGCTTACAACATTACTTACTACTCGTATATTCAAATCTGTTGTCAGCTCTCACTTCGTGGCGAACTGTATAGACAAAGAAGCAGAGATCAGTAAGTGGATGGACATTCGGTAGAATACGAAAAAAGTTCCAGGATACCTCTATAGTTGTGCATGAAGCATAGAAGTAATATTTCTCAAATTAAAGGATGGGCCCCACCATGTTCTCCTTTTTTTCTTCGACGTAAAACTGCACAAAAACGAACTCCATCTAGAAAATTCATTTTCATCTCCGTAGATGTGTTTATTATTATGTGAGTCATGGACTGCTTAAGGGCATGAGAAATTGATCCTTGTGGCCGCCATGTCACTTCGCCCCATCTCCTCATGGCGCCATTTTCACGTCCGTAGACGTAAGGCAAAATAACGCTCGTGCGGCATAAGCTTATGGGCTTCATTCCAGCAGCCTCAGACCGACTCTGTATTGTTGAGTTAGCGCCCAGTACTCTGGTCCGTATTGCAGTACGGGTACAGCCATTCGTTATGAAACTTTAATAAGGGAGTCTCTGTTCTTGCTGTAGCGCGCAGTGGTTCTTTTATTTTGTGCCCCCCGAACATACACACACACACACACACATAATTAAAGCGATAACATTTTTACTGTTTAATAAATTTAAGCACCACGCTATGAGGACGTATAGGAGATTGGAGGTATGGCTCAACATATTCTTAGCGTGGGCACTAGATGGAGGTGAGTGGTCAGCTTCGCTCACTTCCCTCTTTACCCCGGGGGAAAGAGGCCAAGGTACAGATTCAATTGGAGGCAGGGT